CTGGTAACACCAAGGCCATGGGTTCGGATCTCTATATAGGAATGGCGGGTTAGCTCACTTGGGAGAGCACAGTGCTAACAACACCAAGTCAAGGGTTAAGATCCCCTTACCAGTCATCTTAAAAATCAATCAATCAATAAATAAAAGCTGGGGACATAGCAAGGAGCATGACAGACAAAAGTTCTTGCCATCAAGAAGCTGAAGTCCAAGTGAAAAAGACAGATGGAAAATAAATAAGCAAACACATATCTGGTGGTGATGGCTATATTACAGAAGGACAAAGCAGGATATATGGGTTGAATTTGGAGGGCAGTTTGGGTTCAGAGAGGGTCTGAGGAGGTGACATTTGAGTAGACTTGAAGAAGGTGAGGGGTCCATGTGGCTATCTGGGGGAGAGTATTCAAGGCACAAGGAACAGCAAGTGTGAAGTCCTGAGGTGGGAATATGCATGGCATGTTTAAGGAAGTGAGGAGGCTGGAGCAGAGTGATTTTAGGGAAGGAATGGAGATGAGGGCAGAGGGATGGGCCTGTAAAGTAATGGGGACATTGAATAATATTAAATTTGTGAGAAGCAAACCACATTCAGCAAGCACTTAGACCAGAGCTTGTCTCATGATAAGGAGCCACAAATAGTGATCCCTATTACTATCCCTATTAATAGAGGAGCCCACCCAACTCTCCTCCGCCCCTTGCAAATGTCAGGCCTCACAAATGTTTGTTGAATGAATAACTGAAAGTATATGTCAGATATCCTCGGTGCTCAGATTCCTGCTGGGCTGTGAGCCCCATGAGAGCAGTCCTGGGATTGTCTTGGTTCTGGCTGTGTACACAGGCCCCATCTAGGGGAGGGGCTCAGGGAGCATCTGTCAACTGACTGCATGTCACAGTCTCTCCACCAGTGTATCTAAATGTAGGCCCCATCAAGTTCCATACTTCTGGATGTGTCCGTGTGTCTGTGAAAGTGAATATAGGGATTGTTCAAATACCCACTCAGCAAATATTCCTGGAGCACCTCCTCTGTGCTCAGCCCTGTGCTGGGGACACAGCAGTACCGAAGACAGCCCTATGTCCTCATAGGTCTCAGTCCAGTGGAGGAGACTGGTCTGTCCCAGACAATGATGACCCAGAGTCGGGAGGGCTATGAGAACGTAGAGGACTTGGGGGTCAGGAAGGGCTTACTGGAGATGACACTGGAGCTGCAACCTAGAGGATGCAGAGTATTAGGTAGAGAGGAGCTGTATGACTGGGGGTGTGTTCCAGATAGAGGCAACAGCTTGGAGGTAAGAGATTACAGCAAGTTAGGGCAAGGGAGATGAGACTGTACAGGTTAAGAAGCCCCCTCTCCTGCCAAGGTCTTTTTCACCAGTTAATAGCCTGGGCTCTTCTCCCAAGGGTACCAGGGACCCATGGTAGGTTCTGAGCAAGGGATGGGCAGGGTTAGATTTGTGCTTTAGAAATCTCTAGCTCCTGGACAGTGAATGGAAAAGGTGGGACTGGGGCAGGAGACCAGGAAGAAGGTTGGGTGGGGACCCCAGAGGATGAACAGGAGCCCTGATCAGGTAGTCTGAGTGGAAGTGAAGAGGCGAGACCCTCAAGTGAGTATGGGGTGTAGCTGATGGGCCTTGCCAAAAGCTTGGGCGTGAGAGTATGGGAAGAGGAGGAGCCAGGGGTAATGAGACCAGTGAGTCAAGGTGGCCTGAGAGCCCACGTCCCCTCAAAAGTCTGCCTACCCCTGCCCCACCTCAGTACCTAGGAGCCCAACAAAAAAGCCATGGTGCAGAGCCTGAGGTTTCTGAAAGGGCACTGGGGAACCATGGAATGATGTAGAGAAGGAGGAGGAATGAAGCAGATCTGTGGCTGCCCTCAGAAATGGAAGGAGACCGCAGTATCATGTTTGTTAATGTGTGGGGCTCTGTGAGCACTGACATCTCAGGACCTTACGGACCTGGCTCTGCAGGGTGGGGAGGCAGGTGGAACCCAAAGGAACCTGGCATGGTCCTCAGCTGCAGGCCACCTCTCACTGCAGTGTGGATAAGACCAGTCCCCACCAAACAATGTAAGTCTAGGATTTTGGGCTCCCCACGCCTCGGAGTATAGGGAAGCCCAGAGACCTTAGTCACCTCACCTACAAAGTGTGTGAACAGTCCCAGCACCCAGGGACTGAGAGCTCAGCTGGGTATTCAGTACAGGCAGCCCTGGGGATGCTAATGACACCCCAATACCTGCAAAGCACTACAGCCAGGCATCACTCCAAGCGCCTTTTAAGGATTCACCCATGGCCCTACCCCAACCCTGGGAGGGGAGCAGTGTAAGCCCACAGAAGCGAGATCATGTGTCCAGGGGCCACAACCACTGACTGAGGGAGCCTGGCTGGAATCTATCAGGGTGGCGCATCTTTACTCACGAACCAGGCCTGGCTGTGAACTGTGGTCCTGGCCCCGCCTGGGGTGTGGGTTCAAGAGATATTCAGTGGGTACACACAAGACTCCAAGCCGTGGCTGGCCAAAGGCAGCCTTGTGAGTGAGTGCCACGAGCTCACTGCAAGCAGCCTCCCTGGGAGTCAGTGAGATGCGGACAGTTACAGAAGCCCCCTCAGAGAGCTGGTGGGAGAGGGAGAAGTGAGAATGGGGCCTAGCCCGAGGGCATGGCTTTCAACAGAGCATCACTGTCCC